TGTGGCAGAGCCCCACTGCGCAGTGCGGGGCAGTGGATGTTGCCCACCCCCTCCCTGCTTGGCACCCATGCGGCAGCTGCCCCATAGTGCAAGTGCAGCACGGCTTGGCAGGGCACTGTGTGCTGTCAAGGAGCTGGAGCTGCTCCAGCAGTCAGCCAGAGCTCCCAGTTCATTTCCCTAGCTCTCTGATTGCTTCCTCTAGCTCTCTGGTCATTCCCCCCAGCTGTTCCCAAGGGGTATGGGCCCCCAGATCTGCGCCCTGGGTTTCAGCAGGCTGCTGCTGCTGGCTGGGGAAATAGCTCAGAGCTGCTGCTAACCCCAGCTGGCAGCAGCAGCCTGCTTTCATCCTGCTACATATCCAGGGGCCCACGCCCCATGGGAAGATCTGGGGAAACGAAGGGCAGCCAGCAGTCAAGATGTTGGCCATCCCCTCCCTGGATCCTCTCTGCTAATCAACATGGAGGGTGGGGCTGCCAGAAAATGATGGCAAATTTGCTTTCTCTTGCCACGAATTATGTAGATCCCTCCCTACCCATCTTGGCTGTTGCTTTTCAAAAGCTTTGCATTTCCATGAATCTGTGTTGAATTCTGTCTTTCCTTCTGAGGTCTGTTTGCACATGTTGTGCACGCATGGTCTTTTATATTACTGTATACAGGTGGATTATACTGGTATAATGTATGTTGTGGTGATGGACAGAAACAACACTTCTGCGTGTGCATGTTCTCCTTTCATACCTCCTGTTGCTTAACTGATAAACAGCTCCTTTGATCACATGTTCAGATAAAGGCTGGTAGTGCATACAGTTTTCTTTCTTTGATGCAGCTGTTTGCTTTCAGAGCTCTTTGGGTGGGGCTGATTTGGCTTTCTCATCTTATCTTTCTGGTTTTTTAGCACCAGTTGTGTGCGCATGCATATGGAGGTGAACCTGCAGCACTGCCTGAATGCCCTTAACCTGCAGACCTTTACAAACAAGGATAGGAACTAGTCTCTCCAGTTCACATTGTGAGGTTGGGGGTGGGAGAAGGCACGCAGAGGTTCGGGTCTTTTTGAAAATCATGCAGCAAGCTGGTAACAGAGCCTGTGTAGGCTGTTATTCACTGAATTGCATTGAAAGGACCAAATATGTCTGTTGAGGAGCATTTTGTTGTTACTTTATTAACAGATTTTAATCACATAGGACAGAGTCCAATTTCTCTCCCTCTGCCTAACCCCAGAAAGACTGTGGTCAGGATGTACAGTGTTACTGAACTAGAGTCACATCAGTATAGATGTAAGTATCCAAAGGCTGACTTGGTAGGTAATAGAGTGCGGCTTTGTTATATACCATCGGCCTCCTTTTGAAACCATATTTCTTTTTGTCACAAGGGTAGGGATTCTTCGTTGCAAACAACTTTGCATTCACTGAGGAGTCGTATAAGGCATGGTGTTTGGTTTGTGTTTTGTTTTTTTTCAATAATTTTTTAAAGTTAGATGACTTTAACAAAAGAAAAAATAAAAAGCATCTGGAAACACTTATTATGTAGTATGCTCTGGTAGCTCAAAAATGTTCTACTAGAATGTCACTAAAATTTCTTAGAAGAAAAACTCTATGCAAGGTAAAGGGCTAAACATGAGAAATTTTACCTAAAGGAGTTTTTGTAAGTGCTTGAAAATGTTAATAAAAAAACTCATAACCGTAGTGGCATTATCACAACAGGTTTTTCCCTTTCATATGGAGATGGATTATTTGCTATTGGAAAACTTTCTAGCCAGCAAATACATCTGAAAGCGACTAACTGGTGGTTCATCAGAAGCATTGTGTTGAGCCATAAAGCAGAAAGTGCACAACCTGACCATTGAATCATTTCTGCCTAGCAGAGCACAGCACTGGCCTTTACAAATTTATCCAAAGCAGCCTGTAGTGCTCTGGATCAGTGTTGAGATGTGGTCACAGATCATAACTGTTAGAGGTTGAATTATGAATAATATTACATTGTTACAGAAATGGTAGACTTTGAGCAGAAGGAATCATTAGTTAAGAACTAAAATGCTACCTGCCACAATTTTTGCCACAAACAATATGTTTGACTTTTTCTGTTGTCTTTTCAATATTGGTATATCCTGTGTGCACTATAGATAAATGGAGCACAAAAATGAGGGAAGATGGGGAAGAGAGAGAACCATGTTGGGTTTGGTAGATTTAATAAGCTATTGATTGTAGTATATCATTAACAAGGCCTCATCTCTCACTTTCATAAAAGGGTGATAGTGACCGGGTTATGATCTTAAAATTTCTCGGTTATAAATGGAGGAAAAAAGGACAGTCTCTTTTATCATCTTTCTAAACATCTCTCAATATTTAAGGCAAAGAAATAACTCTTGAATATGTGTCTATATTGAAGCCTTACATATTTGAGGGTCAGAGGGCATCAACCTTATTGGTACTTATTCCTGTGTACCTTAATACCCGATTCAGTCAGATGTCATAGATCAGAATTTATTCTCCATCAGTGTGGCAGTGACAAAACATGCTTCATCTCTTCCTCATTTAGATGAGTAATGTTGCCATCAAACCTTTTAATTGACTTATTGCACAAATAATATTTTTATTTCTGTCAAAAGAGCTGAACAATTAATTGTCATACGTCCCCGTAGCTTAACATGACTCAGCTGCACTGCTGTTTCTCTATTAGAGAAGAGTTTGAGTGTTGTAAGTATTAGATGGAGAACTTCCTTTAACTGTCCCCACTGAATCCTTTCCCTATGTGAAATACATTGGTATGTAACTTTGCTCTGTTTGTCATTTCTAACTTCAAAGCTGATTCAATGTAAGCTCAGTTTCTGGAAATGCCTCTGTTTAAAAGTTCGAACCAAAACAATGTTAAGCCTCTTTTCCTGGACTATGAAAATATCATGCTAAACTAAAGTGGGTAGGTTAGTTGCAGAGATAGTAGTAGTAGTTGTAGTAGTACTACAGCATTTGAATCTGAAGCTGAATAGGGATTAAGAAAATGACCACAAAACTGTGATGGATCTTATATATCCTGTAACTGTATATTCCACAGTTAAGTAAAACATTGGATAGAGCAGGGGTGGGCAATTATTTCAGCTGGAGGGCCGCTTAACGAGTTTCGGCGAGCTGTTGAGGGCTGCAAGGGTAGCTCTGCCGCTGCCCCTTAACAGGTGCCCTGCCCCCACTATCCCCTGACCTTTGCCACCAGAAATCCCTGCCCTTGCCCCCAGAAGTACTCCTTTTGGGAAGGGGGTTTGCCATCTTGGGACTGGAAAAAACACATATTATGCCCATTCCTGAGATAGTAAATACCTCTGAATTCTGTTTACTTGAGTTGCAACAGGAAAGGTCAGACAGTTGGTATCAATTCACAGATCTATCTGCATTTCTAGATTGTAAGGTTTTATATTTTCATTTTTCAGCTCCTTTCTAGGTGTTGCTGAAATGTGAACGTGTTGCCTGCAACAACATAGTAGAGATGAGAACCTCTTTAGAGCAAATATGTAGCTGGTATGATGTTGATTCATTTTATATGGATTAAGATGCACTTGATACACACTTAAAAATGAAAATGTTTTAGCTTAATGCTCTTACACTGACTCTGCATTGTAAATCTTTATGAACCTAGATATCTGAATGATGAATGTTCTTCATCATGGGGAAACTCAGGCTCGCTAAGGGATAATAATATCATTACATCTGTTGTGAAAGGTGCATACATTTTGCATTCTTCATTGTGTAATGCTTATTTCTTGGTTTCAGTATGATTTACTAAGGGTAACTCCCTTCCTCTCCCCTCCCAGTGTGGTTACCAGGTTCTGGGCTAGCTTCATTCTTCAGAGAATGCAGCTTAAAATGTTATTTATCTGTTCTTTTGTCACGTGGAGGCAAAATTAGTTCGGTTCTGCTTGTAAAATTAAATGTCTTTTAAGAAAAAGAAATGAAATATTGCATACAGTTCAAAAACCTTTCTGCCAAATCATTCTTAATGTGTTTAACATTCTTGATGTTTCATAACAATCTTTTCTTGTAAAATGTTCCTTTATCTAGTGCTTTGCCTCACCATTAAATATATGTACGTCTTCTGTGATGATAACCTTATTTCAATTTTTTTAATATGTTACGCGATAAAAGTAATCTTCATGTGACAGATCTATTTTTCATAAGAGATGGTCTGTAGTGAGCCCATAGTTTTAAAATTATTAAAGTGAAAAACTAGTATGGATATGCCGTCATAGTTTTAAGCATCATTCAAAAGGTATGGGGTTCATGCTGTATATGTTATAGAGTAGGCTGTATAAATAGCCATTATGGTCTTGTATGATGCTCTAGATCTCTCAGGTTCTGCCCATAGTGTTACTATTACTACTACTTCTCTTAAGGAAAAAGGGATCAGAAAACACTATTTTTGTACAGCTTGTATTTGTGTGTTGTCTGATTCGTCAGCTTTAATGGTCATGGTTTAATGATTTCAGTTTTATATTAACTTTCTTCTTTCTGTCACTTTTATCTTGTTCATAATCATTTTCTAGGTAACAAAAGGCAGTTGTTGTTTCAGGATTGTTGAAAATGTCACCTTAATTGAAATGCTCATGGCATTATAGTACAAATGTGAGGGATGTACTTTTTAAAGATTCTTAATCAATAGGAGGAGGAGATATTCTTGTTAATAAATATTAAGATTGTGTTTCTAGTAAAGGAAGGAAACTTGCTCTTACCTTTCAGCCTGTCCTAAACTTTGCTTGATATTTTAAAATATTTCTATCTAAATATACGTGGATATTTGCAAATTATTTATAGCTGTGCCTTTTTCTTTTAGCATGCATATTTGGGTAGACACTTTGAAAAACTCTTTTATGCCGGAAAAAGTAGCCTGATCTACTTGCAACATATCTGGCAGCTCTATGTGTAATCAATAATACAATATCCTGCTATATAGAGGGTAGATCATACTTTAGCCTGAGGCAGATTTGTAGACTGCGCTTATTTATGGAGCTTTTCTTTTAGGCAAACGGAATGGGCGCAGTAAAAAGTGGAGGGAGATGCTGAAGTTGCCACCCATCAGTTACTGTGAAGGCCTCAGACGTTCAGTTGGTAAGTATTGTATACAATTCTGAAGTCTGGTTTCTCAGGGGCTTTTGTTTGGTGAAGGTGTTTTATCTTGCTTCTGAATAGGTGTTTAGCTGGTTAGTAATCAGACCATGGCATTTAATTTAATTGAGAATTTCTGAGGAGAGTGTATACATCACAGCCACCTTTCATTATGCCCAAGGAAGCTACTCTTGGAAGAAAAGTACTAACTGAATTAAAGAAGTAATTATGCTCCAATTTCTATAGGACAAGAGAGGGTATTTACCAGAATACATTAAAATTGCAGATGCTAATGAGTTACTTGCATCAAAGTGATAGTGCCCTTTTGTTCAAAGAAATCTGGTTAGTTCTGGGCATACTGCAGTGAATCTGACAACATGCTTTTTGAAACAAAACAAGGTATAACTGCCCCATAAAATTGTGTGTGTGTGTGTTTGGTCTATGGTTATAAAGCATATTTTCAAATTAGTTCTGAAAAACTGAAAACAAAATGTAAACCTCTTTAACCAGAAGCCTTCTGAAATGGAAAACTTCTGCATAAGCACTGAACTAACACTAAAGTGTATCATATTAATTCATAGTTTGGACATAGATATTGAAATAATCATCAGCATGAAGCTTTTTAATCAGAGTTCGCATCTGTAAGGCTAACAGGAACAGGCTGTCTTTTTTTTTTTTTTTTACCAACACTTACATATATTGCTTACTACCTAATTTTACATTCTCGTTCCATTTTGTTTCTTTTTCGGCCTATCCAAGTTGTTCCCTCTTGCCTCATTTCACCCAAAAGCAAACAAACAACAACAAATGCCAAAATGTGCATTGGCAGGCAAAGAGTCTCTTTGGACAAGCTGTATTTAAAACAAGAAGTACAAATTCTTCCTCAAGATGCATACAGTCTGAAGAAAGGGTAGAGGTGCTCATTTTATGTTTGGCTGACTTTAAATTGATATGTTTCAGGAAATTAACTGATTGGTAACTGTGAGAGTTTAGGAGAAAATCTCTTCTTTGCACATCTTACTGCATAATAGTTTACAAAGCTCAATTTACATCAGTAGTAACCTCTGTCAGGTACAGGACTATTTGGAACACTAGTTTGATCTGGAAATACTATTTCTAGGAGTTTGGTTATAGGGTTATGGTAGATTTGAATAGTGAACCTGATCTCTCAACTGTGGATCATCCAAGCCGTCCTGTTTCTGTCAATAGACTTATGTGAATAAGGTTTTTATAGCATTTTGTTTTCATTGGGAGCACCACTCTGTAGTGTTACATACAGGACCTTTTTAAAAATATTTCATGTTGGCATGAAAAGGTCAGTTTGATCTAAAAGGCCTTTTGGGGTTTATTTCTAAGTATGGTGAGCTAGTAGAGGCAGAGGTGGTAGTTTGGTCCAACTCATTTGAATTTTTAGTGGCAATTTCATCAAATCTTGGGCCTCCAATTTTCAGCGGGGCTTATAATACCTAAAAGCTTTGCATTTTTCTTTTTCTGTTGAATCTCAGATGAATAGGCAAAGACACATTATAACTTGTTTATGATGGCTTTTGTTTAATCTCTTCTCTTCCCCTAGAAAAGGACTATAACCAGCTCTGTGACAAGCAGCCAATAGGGAAACTTCTCTTCAGGCAGTTCTGTGACACTAAGCCAGATTTGAAGAGGTGCATTGAATTCCTGGATGCAGTGGTAAGCTGTAGTCCATTTATAAGGATTGCAACCCTGCTTTTTTGAGAAATTAGGAAAAGCTGCAAGTAGGTAACTTATTTAAAAAATAAGCTTTTTGCATCCCCTAGATTCATATTAATACAATAACAAAACTTGCTACATGTACTACAGTGAACTTGGCAAAAGAAACTCAACAGCTTTTAAGGACTACAAAGTCTGATAAAAGCCAGAGTAAATTGATAGGCTTTGTGGTGTACCTTGGAAACTTTATTTCTGTTGGTCTAAAGGAAATCTTAACTTTACTATAAAATTTCTGCCGCCTCGTGTATGGATGTGGTTCTCAGAGTGAAAAGGAAGAGATAACAGGAATGAAACTAATTGTGACGTATCGGAGAAGGAGCCATGTTCAGCTTGTGCTGAGTCTTCTGAGAGGTCTTCAAGTATATAGCTTTGTCTGGATTGCATCTTAATTAACCTAGTCTTAAATTAGGATCAAAGGCTTCACCTCAGATCTCAGGAATATGTTCACAATTTTTTTGCTATTTGACAAGTGATGGTGGGGAAGCATTGGTAAACCTGCAAAATTTCAATATCTAACATAGCCTCCAACTTGTAACTCTTATAAAATCTGAAAGCTAGCACAGCTCAGTTAGTGGTCTGATATAGAGCACCTGTCATCTTTTACAGATTAATTTCTTAATTGACCAGCATCTTCTTTTTTTTTCTTTTTTCTAAACTGATCTTCAATCAGTTTAGCTCAAATTAAGATAGATAAAAGCAATGGTGTGGAGTAGAACAATCAGTTTCTTAGTGTCAAATAATGGCTTAATTTTATGTAAGTAAACAGCTTTGGCATAAACTACTTGCAATCCCATACTGGAGAGCTTTGAACAACTTTTGTTCTCATTTTTTCCTTCCATTTTCAGGTACGAAATGCAAATCAGGTGACAAAATAAGATATAGATCCATAGGATAAGCAAACTGGCGTAATTTTTTTTCTGTTTAAATAGAAGTCGGGTGCATGTCTTTTAATTGAATGTACCTTGTGGAGCAACTTGACTTCAACAACAAACATATTTACTTGAATACTTGAATTTTTGCCTTGTCTTATTCACATACAAGGAAACCTCATTAAATACACTGTCTGTAATTAAACTGCTGCCAAAACCAGCATGTGCTCAGCAGTGGAAACCAATTATGAAGTCTGTTTAAATGCAGCTAACACTGAGCATAACTATAGAACACATGGCCCATATTGGGCAAACATACTGATGGGAACTTGTCACATTTTGAAATGTTGTGTCTTGAGCTAAATTAGCCAAATCATTTGCAAATTCTGTTGACTGAGGAGAGCTCAATCATTCAAGTCTGTGTGGCATTACCACCAGCAAGTATCCTACATCCCAGACTCATCAGCTTGGGGCTTCACATATTCCCAAATCCATGGCAGGCATCCTATGTACAAGTCCCAAGCCTAGAAGCTTTGGAGTTCAGATGTCCCCTAGTTTTGCTTGCCTCTAGCCAAAAGGCTGAAGGACCAAGCTAGAGGGAAAGCCTGACAGCAATCCCTCATCACCATAAATTCTGTAGCTGAAATCCTTACATTTGAAGGTATTTGTAGACTCTCACAGGGATCAACTTGCCTGCAGTGCAAGGGACAGGGCTTTACCCTCTAACTACACCAAGTCATTTGAGGCAGAGAAAAATGGTATTTCTTCTGCCAGGTAAAACCACCTGGGCTGGAAACTACCTCATGGTATTTACCTGGCAGAGTGATGGGAACCTGCCACAAGGATAAGTTAGTGCAGCCCATCTGAATCGGGTGTATGGTAGTGCCCATTAAGTGCAAGGCCCCTTAGCACCAACTCTTAAGTCATGGTGAGCCACTACATTGCATACATTTCAACTTCTTCATTCCAACAGGTGAGCTGTGCCATTCTTTCCGATTTCTAATGATTCCTGTTTTTTTCACCAGCCTTAAATGTCTGGCAAACCACCAAACGGGGTCCTGAACAGTTCACCCAGAATCCCTCTGTTGCCCCCCCCCCTTGCCTGTTGCATAAAATTATTGTGGCCCCACCCTCCATGAGGTGGAACCAGGCCAGTTTGCCCTGCACCTCATTTGCATATACATTTTTGGAGGATCTCCGGACTCATGACAGAAACACCCAGTTCTAGTTATATGGGAGACTAATTAGCACATGGGGCCTTTGTGGAGGTACCAGGAGTACATATACATACTGAGTCATGTTGAGTTGTGGGATCACCATGACTTGTAACACTGTTGACTGGTGGGGCCCAGCTCAACAAAGTAAATGGCAAATCATGAATCTTTTGGCTTTGGATGAATATCAGGGGGGCATCTACTTGAGACACTTATTGCAGCGTTGCCTAATTAGCTCCATAGTAAAGCATCACCATCTACACATGCAGAGCTATTGGGCTGGAGTAAACTAATTAACTCGGCCATAGGTTAGTACTGCCTGACATAAGTACTGTCGCAGCAGAGTTGCTTATTCTGCTGTGAAGCATGTGTAGACAGTGACCAGGGCTAGATGAGGCACAAGGGTACTACAGTGTGGGGCTGCCTGCTGGCTAGCCCTGCATTTTAGTACCCTTGTGCCCCAGCCAGCCCCTACACAGAACACTGAACCAGGGAGACCCTCCGGGCCCCCTGCCAGCCAATCCTATATGCCTCCCAGCTTTATGTGCTGCAGTCCTGGGTGCATGCATTAATGCTGTGCTCAGAAGCAATAAACTCCAGTGCAAACTGTGCTGGAGTTTATTGTATCCCACTAATTTTACAATTAGACACGCCTAGTTAGTGCTATTTATAAGTAGGTGCCAAAGTGCTGTTTAAAAGTGTTTACAGAGTACCTATGCTAAAACTTGCATCAGTTTCAAGAAACAAAATGCTTCAATTCTGGCTGAGCTAAGTGTGTGGGTGCTATATGCAAGTTACTGCAGCGATGTTCAATTTCAGGGTTATTGTTTTCAAATTTGCTCTTCACATCCATGTGCTCAGGAAGAGCAGGGTTTGACAGTAAGAAGGAAGGAAAGAAGCTGGGGGAAGGCAGAGGGCAAGGGGCTACCTGACTCCCTAGATTTTTCCCTGCTGTAGCAGTAGGTGGGGGACAAATTCGAGGCAGACCTCCAATAATTAGATTCTATGCCCGGAAAAGTATAACAAATTTATAAATTTCTCATATATACAATCTAATTATTGGGGGGCTGTCTTCTAATCAGAGATGCCAATGTGGTCCCCATTTTCAAGAAGGGGAGGAAGGAGGACCCAGGCAACTATAGGCCAGTCAGTCTCACCTCCATCCTAGGCAAAGTCTTTGAAAAAATTATCAAGGCTCACATTTGCGAGAGCCCGGCAGGAAAAATTATGCTGAGGGGAAACCAGCATGAGTTCATAGCAGGTAGATCATGCCTGACTAATCTAGTCTCTTTTTATGACCAGGTTACAAAATGCCTGGAC